AAATAACACAAAATATGATGACGGGGAAAACCCTTAACTGGGTAAAAACTTCGGGACCAAGCCAGCAATTTCCACTATGGACAATGTGAACTTATAGTATGATCCAACATAGAAAATCCACTAGCCTCGCTGATCTAATTTCTGCAATCTTCAAGATCCGCTAGAACGTGTTTCACTCGCACCTGCTCTTGATGTTCTGGAATTGTCTATCTCATGTGGACCACCAAGAACGCTTTGTTCTTGTACTCTTCCTGTGCTTGCTGTCCAACCTCCATCAATTTTCAGTAACTTTGAAAGCTATTGAGAAAGTACCTTCCTGAATATAAATTTAGGAAGTGGGTGTTTTGAATTCTTTAATTTGATGTTTTCCCAAATTGTGGTTGAATGATCTCAAGAATGAAAATGATAAATCACAAATGATGAATGTTTTCTTGAATCTCTAAAGAATGATACGAGGCAAAAGAATAAAAAACAACCACACCAAAAAAATGTGCAAGGGCTTGAGTATTTATAGTAGAAGGTAGTTAGGTAGTCTACGCCCATTAAAAATTTAAAACTCTTTAAAACGCGAACTAGGGTTTTCTCGAGAAACACCGTCGCTCGAGTGATAGCTCAGCGACAAGCGAGGAATAGCTGAGCAGTCGTCAGTATGTTTATCATAAATTTCTTTCTCGATGTCCGATTAAGGTGATTCAAAATGCGTTGAAAAGATAAGTAAAAGGAATAAATTCTTCTAGAAATAGCCTTATCCATATTTAATAGTTTTCTATGTGAAAAATGCATTGCAAGTTAAGGCTCAGAATTTGGAGCATAACTTGTGCGGCTCTTTAACACTCTTTAGACTTCTAATTGCATTCCCTTAAATGTGTAAAACATATAATATAGGATGAAAATGAGTAATGACAGCTTATATTATTGTACATAATATAGAATTTACTTCATTGAGGAAGTTGAAGTATTTAATGTCTCTTTCAGAAGAATCATTTTCCATTGGTGAAGAAGTTTCTCAATCCTTGATATTTTTGTATACAAGGTACTCTTGGAGCAGTTTTGGCTGAAAAAAATGATTCTATGCTTTAATTCAATTTCCAAAAGCGTATGGACTCAGGGCAACACTGATCTCTCCAACTATGAAAGCATCAGAAATACAAGTTACCATGTAAGGAACTAGTAACACATACAAAGAAATTTCGACAACAGAACCAAAATAGAGAATGATATGAAATTATGATAAATGTTATTTCTTTACACTATTATATTTTTGTGGTTGATTTTCATTCCTTCTTCATAGCAATAAAGTTTGTAAACATATCAGGTTTTCCGGGCATCAGCACCATGGTTTTTAACTCAGAACCAAAATAGAGAATGATATGAAATTGTGATACATGTTATTGGACAACTCTCTTGAGCTCTAGGGTTATTTGTAGATGAGTATTAAATTGATTTTACTGACGATGATTTCCTAGTCAGGCCTATAGTTTGACTGCTCAATGTTTAGATGATAGTGGATTAGCATTGTCATAAATGCGAGACCATTTTGATCATAAATAGTCTAGATCAATAATAATTATGGTGAATACCATTGACTCTATCCTCAAGTTAGGGAATCATTTGATCTTGAGTAGTGAAAGTTTTAAATTTACCGAATATTTAGACTCAACGTGGAAAATTATACAATTAA